TGCCCCCTCCAGGGTCTTCCTCAGGCCTTCAGGAACATGCTAGGTTGGCAGATATGGGGTCAGGACCCCTGTCCCTTGCCCTCCTCTGAGGACATTTCAGTGAACAGAGAACCAGGCCATGAGGGCAGCTGAGTCTTGGAGGAGGAAGGGCTGCCGAGTCCACGGGTGGCAGCAGGGAGGTGCTGCAGTTGGGCTGCGCCAGGAAACAAGTGATGGACAGGAGAAGGCTGTGTGGACACACCCCGGTGGGGAGCCAAACCTCGACCGAGGTGGCCTCGAGGGGCTGGGAGCACTCCGAGGGCCCACGGGGTCGTCCTCACTGTGGCACCGCAAGTTGGAGACTTGATGTCAGGGCGGACGTGTCCAAGGGGAAAGGCTGGTCTTCGCCCACCAGACGGGACAACCCCTAGGAAGGCCTATGGGGGAGGGGGACATCAGTGTCACCTTCCTTAGAGGCAGGCCCTGAGCAGGGAGCAGATCTGGGGGCCTGCTCTGCCTCACCTCACCCCTGCTACCCTCCAGGAACCCACCGCCCGCCTCCCTCTGCCCTGAGGGCCTGAGGAGTCGGAACTTCTCCAGAGAAGTCCGCCAGAAGCTGCAGGATTTTGCCTCTGTTGTGAGCACCAACCCCAGTAGGGTGCAGCGGGTAAGGACAGACGAGGGTCTGTGGGGGCCCAGCCCACTTGCGGTGTCCCTCTCCCCAGGTGGCCCCTTCTCCCGAGGTGACTGCCCCGCACTGCCCCTGCAGGCTGCCCTGGGAGCACAGGGGATTGCCTTTTCTCACGTGCGTCCACATATGGCTGGCCAGCACCATGGGTGCCAGCTGTGATGTGAGGAAGTCAGTCCCTGTCCTCCTGTCCCTCCCACCCTGGGGGCAGGTACCAGTGGGGTGAAGACCCTGGTTGGGGTGGGCACCCGCAGGGGTCCTGACCTGGGCTGCAGTCCAAGGAAGTGGGAGTGGGAGAGGACCGTCAGGAGTCGGGGCAGGGGGCCAGCACCCTCCACTCGCCACTGGCTCTGCCTGTGCTCTCTGTCCCCTTGCCTCAGTCCAGTCAGCAGGCATTCCCGGTGACGGCGTGCACCTGTACAGCTGTGTTCTTCCCGGGGCTCCTCTGGCTTCTCACACCTGTCTCAGCAGGCTCTTCCCACTGGGTCTGCCCACTTCTGTCCATCCTATCATGGGGCTCTCAGTTGTCACTCCGCCTGCTCGTCGCTGTCCAATGGCAGGGCTGTCTTGCAGATTGTTGTCCCCCCCTCTCTGCCCGCCTTGTCTCTGAGCTGTTCAGAAGGCGCTCCCAGTGCTCTGCGGTCTGGTCCTGGGGCTAGGGTGCCTAGGGTCTCTCCAGGAGAGGACAGGGCTAGGGTCTGCATGCCCTGCTTATGGGTCAACATCATGCATCTGTGGGCCTCGCCTTCTGAGTGTACTGTAGTTGTGCTGGGCACAGGGGCACCAATCTGCAGGCCTCGCCCCTGCAGAGGCCCACATGCACCCACCCAGGGTGTGCTGCCCTGAGGTATTGTAGCTGGTGGACTGGCCACTGCCTCTGCGATGGGGAGGGGTCTGCACTGCATGTGAGTGTTCTGGGCAGACGCATGAGCTCAGATGTTCCTTTACCCGGTACCTACTGCACTGGTTCTGTCTCCCGTCCTCGGGAGGTTAGGCCCCTGCTCACCCCCTTTCTCCAACTGGACATGAGCTGCTGGCTGTCTCTGCCTGGGTTCTCAGTCTTCCTGTTGTGGACTAGGAGAACTTGGCCTTGGAGACGAGCCTGAGCGCTGAGCAGGTGTACAACTGGTTTGCCAATTACCGGAGGCGCCAAAGAGCCATTCTCCAGCGAATGGAGCCCACCCAGCAGGCCGCAGCAGAGGGCCCCAGTGCAGAGGATGGGGTTCCTGAATCCTTGCAGCCCCCAGGCAAAACCTGTGTTGTTTCTGGGTTTGTGGACGGGCCTCAGTGCTCAGGTGAGTAGACCGAGGGTGGTTGGAGGGCCAGGCTAGGTAGGGTCACTCCGTGTGTAGTGCCAGTCCTAGGCAGCAGACCCATTGTGGGAGGTGTCTGTCGAGGCTGAGGGTCAGCCTGGGCCCAGGAACTGCCCAGGTGGGGCTGGGGCTGGTTCTCTGCATTTCTAGGTTACTGTGTTTCCAGGGCCAGGACTCGGGCTGGAGATGGGCTATCATGTGGCCAGAAGCGGGGAGTCAGTGAGGAAATTGGGGGAAACCAAGTCTCAGGATTTCAGGGGTCCCGTTTTGTAACGGTGGATTATCAGTTCAGACCAAAGACAGACCAAGGGACAAACACTGTATCGGGATGACCTGGCGGCAAGACGTGGTGGCAACACCCTTTCCAGACCACAGGGCTGCTGTTACCTGCGAGGAAGGAGGCTGGGACTTGCAGTTCACCAAGCCTCGCCTCCTGCCCGATCTGCTCTCAGCAGGACGTGAGGAAAATGGGCCTCCAGAGACCAGTCAAGGACCTTGGGAGCCTCTGGCCCTGGCCCCAGACTTTCCTGGAGATGAGACAGTCTTGAAGCCCCTGTCTTCCAGGTACTGTTATCCAAGGCGATGGGACATCTCGCCTGTTCCCCTTGTTTCCCAGGCGGAGACCATGGCACAGATGGGCATGGGTAACCTGGAGCCAGAGGCCCAGCCCTGGGTGGGGAAACCCACAAGGAGTCCTTGCCGGAAGTGGGGACAGCTCTCTCACCCACACCTGCTCCCTGCAGCCCCTCTCCTCTTGACTTCCTGTCTGTGGAGGGTGAAGGAAATAAGGGAAAACGTGCAGACCTCTTGCTCACAGACAAGCTGCACTGTTGCTGTGTTTGTGTGTTTCTAGTACCTTAGTATTTCGCTGAGTCAGCCGTGGCCAACACCCTGCTAGTGTAGGTGCTGTGTGCACACCCTCACGTGGGCCACCAGGGGCCAGGCGCACCCTCACGTGGGCTGCCAGGGGCCGAGTCTGTACAGGACCGCACTGCCTGACCATCACACTGGGCTCTGCTCCTCCTGGACTGTCACACGTCCTTGTCTCTCATGACACCACCTGTGCTGCCTCATGGCCAGGCCTGGCACCACCGGAGTGTGGCCCTGGGCAGCTTTCAGTGACTTCTCCCTGGTGCACTGGGGATGGTGACAGGCCCTACCATGGAGTTGGTGGCAAAGGCTAAGGGGTGGTTAACGAGAGGGGACGTGGCCATCCCAGAGTAGGAACTCTTTGGCTGCTGTTAGCTGCAGTCTTGTACTCCTTCAGGACCAGCTGTATTCACTTGCTCAACAGAAGGCTCTTGGTGACAATGTTCAGTTTTCAGGTCTGGAACAATACTCATTTGTTGTCAAAGGTCACTGTCAATAAACAGCTAATGTATTTTTTTATTTGCTAGAGGTCATGTGCACTCACTAGAGAGGGAGAGAGGGAGAGCACGAACCCCCCCTATGGGGCATAGTCACACCACAATCCCTTCTCCTTCATTTGTCCCTCCTTTTGGAATTTTTAGCATGCACACATATGGCATATTTTTGTTTATTTTTAAATAATTATTTATTTAATTTTGCTTATCATCATTTAAAAAGAAATTGCTACAGGGCATGTGTGCTCACGAGAGAGAGCGAGCACAAAAGTCAATTGCCAGGCCCAGGACTTGAACTGCAGTCAGTAGGTAGGAGTCTAGCACCTTCACCACCACGCCACCTGCTGGCTGGTCCCCCGGCATGTTTTTTTAAGACACTGAGTCTGGGACTCAAACTGCACTGTCAGTCATGGGGGATACAGACATTAAACGCCAGGCCATAGGCTGGCCCAAACTACTAATATATTTTATTTCCAACAGTAGCCTTTTTCTTTTTCTTCTACTTTTATGAGAGATGAAGGAAGGAGGAGAAAGAAAGAGGGAGGTGTTTTGAATACCCTCCCGGCCTAGACTCCCAGTTCACTAAGTGTGCCACCATATCTGGGTGTTCAGGGTGTCCTGGGACCTCCACATGGCTTCCCATCTCCAAAGTCATGGCATTTTCTGTGCACACCGTGGCTAGGCCTCCAGAAATAGTTTTTATGAAGTGTCTCTAGGTGTCAGGCCATCAGCCCAGCCTTAGTCCTGGTGGTTCCAGGGAGGGTGGTGAAGGTGGCCTGAATGGTGCTGTCAGACTCACCTGGAGCTGTCAGTGCAGGACCCCCATTCATGACTTATCTGGAGTCTTCCTTCCTGACTCCTCTGCCCCAGCCTGAGGGAGTCTCTGACCACCAAGGAGCAGTGCCCGTGTGTCCCCAGGTCTCTGCAGGGTGGTGAGATGTACCAGGAGGGGCCTGGCCACGACCATACCAGCCTTGCCGCCATTGGCCCTGAACCTGGCCTCTGTCCTCTGGCTGCTGGCAGCGATTTTCTGGATCCTTCTCTGGGTGCCCCTGAATCGTGGCTGATGACCCTAGCCCTGGCATCCTCCAATGAAGCTCCTTTCCAGACTGGACAGCTGGTCCATGGACGTGGGCTGGACTTTGTGATGCACCCTACAGAGGCTGAAGTGGATGTGTCCATTGCCAACCACGGCGACACCAGCCCTGCAGGTGAGTCTGTTTTGGGAGGACTAGGTGCTGCGTCTAGGTGAGTGTTCTGTGAGGGGCCAGAGTGTGGGTAGGACCAGGGTTTTCTGTTTAAATTGTGTTTAATGAGACTCAGAACCAGTGCTGGCAGAACAGACACCATTCCCATAAATGGTCCAGATTATTTAATATGTTAGTTTGGAAGAAAAAGTTACATGACTGAAAAAGAAGACAACGAAGAAAGAGTTGAAATGGAAGGGTGGAGCTGCTACCCTGCGCTCCCCCGTGGAAGCAGCCTCACTCACCTGTCAACACCTGGTACACTGAGCTGCTGAGCCCCACCCTCCTCCCTCAGCCTATGTGCAATGTCATCTTCGCTTCTTGCTAAGTTTTTATTGTAGATATAAGTACCTTTTAAAAATATGCATCGAAATATATTTCTGTCCATCAAGTATCACAGAATCTGTGCCTTGTGCGGAGGACAGCACTACACACTCACTGCACTTCTCCGTCTCCTGTGGGTACCTGTTTCTTTTCACGTTTTTTTTTTTCTTACTTTTATTTGCTGCAGGGGTACGTGTTCTCACCAGAGAGAGGAAGAGGGAGAGGAAGATACAGAGGAAAAATGAGAAGTCACCTCCCCAGGGGTGGTGACTGCTGCAATCCCTTCTCCCTTCCTCTCTCAGGATAATCCCTTTCCCTTCCCCTTCTCCCTGGCCCCCTCAGGATAATCCCTTCTCCTTCTCCCTTCTACTCTCAGGATAATCCCTTTCCCTTCTCCCTTCTCCCTTCCCCTCTCAGGGTTTTAGGCACGCTCATACCTGTGACCAGTGTGTCTTTAAAGCTACCGGGTCCGGGACTCAAACTGAGCAGTTAGCCGTGTGGGATCCAGCTGCCTTAACGACCATGCTGCCTGTTGGCCCTGCTTTTTGTTTTCTGAGCATTTCTAAATTAATTTATTTTTTTCTTACATTGTCTACTCTTAGCACATTCTTAACATCTTCAAGTGTCTCATACACCCCGCCTTAAAACTCCTGGGGAGCCCTCCTTTTTTCTGTTCCTATCCAGATGGCCTGTTCCTGGCCTGGGTTGGACCCTCATCCCAAAGCTCCTTACCTGCTCCCTGGGCTCACCCTGATGTTTCTCAGAGTGAAGGTCCCGTTCTTTATTGACCTGCCTGGTAGAGAACATCCTCAGCTAATTTAGCAAGAGAGTGTCTTCTGCTAGATAAATGTTCTGCATCCTTGCGTGTTCTAAACATGTCTCATCTGCCCTCACATTTGATTACCAATTAGGCAGGGACAGAATTCTTAGTTGAAAATACTTCTTCCCTAAGAAATTTGAAGATACTAGTTTTTGTTAGCATTCATTGTTGTTAGGTCAGAAGTCATTCTGATGTTTAGATAATCTGTTTTTCTTTCCTTGGAGCTTTTGTGTTCTATTTTTTTTCTGGGTGTCTTAAAATTTTACACTGACAGTCCCAGATATGGGTCTTTTCAATTTATCTCATTATAAATGCTTTCAGTTTAATGAGCATCTCTTATAATCTCTAAGGGTTTTTTTAAATTTATTTTTAAATTTTTTTATAGGTTTTCGCTAGAGGGCGCATGCACTCCCCAGAAAGACAGAGGCGGACAGATAAAAAGTGAGAAATCACCCCCCAGGGGGGATTGCGATGTCGCAATCCCTTCTCCTCCATTCTTCTCTTGGGATCTTGGGCACACACGCACATGTGCCCGGCATGAGTTTAAGCTGCCGGGTCAAGGACTTGAACCGCGGTCGACTACATGGGAGTCCAGCGACATAGCCATTACGCTAACTGCTGGTCCCAAGCTCTAAGGGCATTTTTGTTTTTTGGTAAGATTCTTTGACAATGTCTGATAATTTCTTTGATAAGTGCTTTCATCCATGTTTTCAGTTCTCTTAAGAGCACACATATTTGGACATTGAGACTCCAGGACCTATTACCCAAAGGCCTTATCTCTTATTTTATACTTTATTTTCTTTTAATTGTATGTGTTTTTGGAACTATTTCTTAAATTCTGTCTTCCAATTTTTTATTTTGACCATCATGTATTGGGCTGTTGGAAAAGTCAATGGCATATTTTTTCTGTTTTTGTATGTATAAATACGTCATGACTTACCTTATGCCTGATATTTTAAGAGAGTTTCAAACCATCTTTTTACTGATTTCTGAATTTTCTTTAATTCATAAAATATATTGCTTTCTATGAATACAGTATCTTTTACATCACTGTAGATACTAATTAGAATTTTTAAAGGCTTGTTAATTTTTTCACATAAGCAAGCAAGAAAAATATCATCCCTAACAGTCTTGCTTTTTTTTTGGGGGGGGGGGGTTTGTAGGGCACAATG